CAGGGGCCACTATCCCAGGACCCACTGACACCAATGATTATGGGGGGGCTTTTCTTTCCTGGGGGCCACAATCCCCAGTGACACCAATCATCGGGGGATCATTATTTGTCACTCTATTGAAATGACACAATCTCAGAGCTGATTGGTTGTCGCCTTTTTGATACATTTTAAACTTTTATATTTTAATTCAAATTATTATTATTTTTGTATAGTTGAGGGACGGGTGATTCGGGGGAGGTGCTGGGCCCCCCGGGTCTCACCAACGGCCCCGGGTTATAAGGTGCTATCATAACAGGTGTTATCTGTGACATCACACAACGCATCACCTGTCATTACAATGAGCTCTGCGGGTGTCATGGTGACGGCCGGTGATGTCAGTCAGGGGGGCGGAGCCTGTCCTGCTGGACGTCACCGTTGTGACTGGAATGCTGCGCACGCCGTGGGGGTGTTGTGGCGCGCGGCGTTGGCCGAGGCACCGCTCACAATGGGTGGCACTGCACTGAGATCGGTGTGTGCGCCGCAGTATTACACGCCAAGGACTGTGCCGGCTCCTCCTCCTCCGGGCTCTGCACCAATCAGACGACTTACCAAAATCCCAGGAGCAGAAACCTTGCAGGAACTCCTTGTCGGCGTCTCCTCCGCTCTGGCAGGCGGCACACGGGAGCTCTGCGGAGAGAGGACACGGTTATACCGGCTGGACCGAGACTCCCCATTTCTGAGGTCACAGCCATTCCTCTCCGGCAGGGGGAGCCGAACCTCCACCCTCCATCTGCCGAAGAACTACAACTCCCATAAGGCACTGCACTAGGCATGACTTACAGAGGGCTGATGGGATTTGTAGTTTCACCAAAGCTGGCTGAGGCTGCCTACCCCTGCCCTATAGGTTTTATCCCATGAGACTAATCTCCAAACAACAACCCAACACATCCAGCAGTAGCACATAGGACGGAGATCAGATAGAAGACTGAAGGGGAGGACGGAGGTCAGATAGAAGACTGAAGGGGAGGACGGAGGTCAGATAGAAGACTGAAGGGGAGGACGGAGGTCAAATAGAAGACTGAAGGGGAGGACGGAGGTCA